GGTACGACAACACACACAGCACACACCACACACACGTGTGTGTATATCAATATATATAAGCATGTATATGCATCACTCTCTCCTTTGGTTTCATATTCCGCGAAGTCTTCCATGAAGCGCTGACATTAAATAAATTATTTAAAGTCTTAAACCTAGGAAGTGATTTTTTTTTTTTTTTTTTTTTTGAGATTGAGTTTTCCTCAGGCGCCCAGGCTGGAGCTCAGTGGCGCGATCTTGCTCACTGCAACCTCCGCCTCCCGGGTTCAAGGATTCTCCTACCTCAGTAGCTGGATTACAGGCGCCTTCCATTTCATGTCGTATACGGTATTCTAAATAATTTATATCCCCTATTAGTACCGAAGAGGTTTATCAGGAAGGGGGTGTAGCTCAGTGGTAGAGCGCATGCTTTGCATGCATGAGGCCCCGGGTTCGATCCCCAGCACCTCCAAACGTTGATTTTGCTATGGCAGTGCTCAAACCTAATTCTCAAGCAACGTTAGACTCCGAATTCTCGAGCAACGTAGACTTCTTCCTCCGCACCTTTTTCTATCCTATTTCTGCACATATAGAGAGAGTAAAGACGTAACCCAATGGGTTGCCTCCATTTATAACCAATCTCTATGCTGTGAGCTTCGACATCACCGAAGGCGATTGCCACGGCCGAAGGAAGGTGAAAAAGAAATGAGGAAGAAAGAATGGGATCCCAACAGGGCCTCCTGAACCCAAACAAAAGACTGCACATCCAGGGGCGGTTCACATTAGCTCTCATTTTGTACTATGATTAAAGAGAAGGAAAGACAAAGAAGAAGAAGAGAGAAAAACGCCGCGCGGCCTTTTTTTTTTTTTTTTTTTTTTGAGACGGAGTCTCTCTCTGTAGCCCAGGCTAGAGTGCAGTGGCGCGATCTCCGCTCACTGCAACCTCTGCCTCCCGGGTTCGAGTGATTCTCCTGCCTCAGCAGCTGGGATTACAGGCGCGTGCCATCACGCCGGGGTAATTTTTGTATTTTTAGTAGAGACGGGGTTACCTCATGTTGGCCATGCTGGTCTCGAACTCCAGACCTCAGGTGATCCACCCACCACAGTTTCCCAAAATGCTGGGATTACAGGCGTGAGCCACCGCTCCCGGCATCATCTTTTTTTTTTTTTACATTAGTTTTGTTTTCTGGGCCAAAGAATAGAGCGAAAGCATCTATCCACTGATTTCTCCTACAGTCTCTCCCTGTAAACCTGCGCAGAGAGCACAGCCACAAGTGTGATCCAATACAGAGACAAGGACTGCTGTGGCTCTCCAGCCGCTTGAGTTGGGAGTGGAAGGATACTGGATGACCGAATGAAGACTGTCGGGGAATTAGAGGCCTTCCACATGCTAGGAGCAGAAACCAATATGGATCAACATTCCGTACCGATTTTCCATACAATTGATTCATTTTCCTGTATTTCTTCAGCAATTCCATTTCCTCGTTAAAATAAAACATTTCCTGGAAACCTCTGTTAACGGTCAACGGAGGACTCATATGAAAAAGTAGGAAAAGTTTTTCTGTCACAATAGAAGATAGATGCAGAGTAAAAGATGAGTGGATCGCAGATGTGTTGAGCACTTCCTTAGGTAAAAACAAAACAAAACAAAAATTATTTTGTTCTTTCTCGTCATTCCCATCACATCTGCATTGTATGACCAGGGAACTCCCAGGAAATCTGTCCACTGATGATACCTTTTAGGGGTTTCCAATGCTGTATGTTTCAAAATTGCTGTACTCTGTGTGTAGGTTTGCTGTTGAATCAAAGCATCTTTGAGAGGCAACAGAGTATGATGTTTGTCACCATCCACCAGTCTAACACTCTATCAGGCTGGGATGTCCTTACTTCTTGATTCTTTTATCCGGTAAAAATATCCATAACCAGCTTCCAGGAGGGATACTGTCTTGTGAAACCTGTTTAGCTGAGGATTGGCTGTGTGTCCCCAGGCCAATCTTATGTTTGTTTTAAGATGCATTTTTTGAAGAGGTAATGAAGACATGCCATATATTTTCTTTTCATTTCTTGCTTTTCCCCCCCCTGCTATCTACTGGTTCTCTCGAGGCACTTTAAGGAAACAGTGTCATGTTTGCACAAAGGATGCTGCACAGGAGAGCAAGGGGTGAAGGATTAGGGTGCTACCAGTGGAATGCCAAATTCCAGGCCCAACCTCAGATCTACAGAATCAGAATTGATAAGAGTGGGGCCCAGCTGCCCGTGTTGGATAAGCCCTCAAGTGACTCTGATGCTAAAGTTTGAGAAGCACTGCTCTAGAAGTTTCAGAAGGAGGTCCCAGGGCCAGATGTTTGCTAAGGAGAAAGAGTTGCTCCGGGGTTCCCTGCCTATTTTCAATAAAAAAAACTCGGACCACCTAGGAAAGCCAGTGAGGTTTATATTTGCCTTACATCAGGGGTGAGAGTGAATTTGTTATCTCTTTGAGACCTTCAATATTTTAGATGGCTGGAGCTCACACACAAGAGCCTTTGATTTTCCTGTAGAAGAACTCACAGGGGTTCTTTAGAGCCAGGAGACTATTTCCAGCCAAAATACCTGGAGCCTTCTCGAGCTATTTTGGCCTTTCAATTTGAAACCTAGGCTTGGAAGTTTCTAAGCTCTAAGGAAGACACTGTAATCACTCTTTCTCCATCCTCACGGTTGGGATTCACCCTCCTGTCTCTCCAGCCCCCACTAATTCTGCCAATGTTCTGGTCTAAGATCAAGTTGTTAAAACCCAGTCTATGTGGCTGGGGGCGGTGGCTCACACCTGTAATCCCAGCACTTTGGGAGGCCAAGTCGGGCGAATCACGAGGTAAAGAGATCAAGACCATCCTGTCCAACATGGTGAAACCCATCTCTACCAAAAATACAAAAATTAGCTGGGCATGGTGGCCAGGGAGGCTGAGGCAGGAAAATAGAAAAATTAGCTGGGCATGGTGGCTGCGCCTGTAGTTCCAGCTACGGGGAGGCTGAGGCAGGAGAATCCTTTGAACCTCAGAAGCGGAGATTACAGTGAGCGGAGATCGCGCCACTGCACTCAAGCCTGGTGACACAATGAGACTCCATCAAAAACAAAAAACAAAAACAAACAAAAAAGTTCAGTCTAATGCATAAAATGTAATTAAAATATCTTCGCAGCATTAAGTAGAGAATTCCTTGTTGTTAGCAGACTGTTCCTCTTCCTCCTTGGAAGATGTTCTCTGTCTGTCCACCTTCTGCGTTTTCACATTTGTCTCTTCCTTTCCACACCTAAGCCAGCGCTTTATTTCCCCTTATCTCGTGTAGGGATACTCTTTTGTGTGGAGACCTTGACTTTCCACACTCTTCTTGCTTCCAAGAGTTGGGTGTAGGCAATGTAGGAGCCCACTGCCAAAGTGTGGGTGATTTTCTCCAGGAAGAAACCTAAATTTCAGAGGCTTGATGATGTGGAAGAAAGCCTAGGTTATTCGATTCATAGAGCTTCACACTGCTAGGTAGGTTGAAATCTGGACACCCTGAATTCCTTAGGAACAAGGTAGAAGTGCTTCTGAAAACCAATTTAAGTTTAAAATATACTGAGGCTCCCTGACCTTTCTTGTTTTTCACGACATATTCCAAGCTCAAGAAGTTAAACTCTCTCTCTCTCTCTCTCTCTCTCTCCTTCTCTCCCTCTCTCAAATACAAAAACAGAACACACTCTCCTACCTGTAACAAAGGGGCTTAAGCAGGAGGGTCTCTCTTCCTGATTCAACACTCTCCCCTTCGCGAACAGTAGGGATTGGAAATAGGCGGCTTCTCTGTCGTTTCCTCGGAAGCCACCAGTACCACCCGCCTGTACCAAAACTCAAGAGTACCCGTGATCCCCAGTGTCCGAGCCAGTAAAGGAGCTGCGAGGCATTCTCAATGCCGCGACTGCCTTAAGCACAAACGAGGGAGATCTTGCGGGAAAGTGTTTTCAGTTCACTTTTCCTACTGGGAATGAGCCCTCTCGCTTATCGCGGACACCCAGGAAACGCAGTGGAGATGGGCACCCGGGCTGCCCAGATCCTCTGGCAGCCTCAGGCGCTCGTCCACTTCGCTCCTCCTCCGCCTTTGCCTGCCCCGCCGCAGGTGCGCGCCCCACCGCTCCCCTGCTTCCCTCCTCGCGCTCTTTTCGCAGGTGGTCCTCGTTCTCCTCTCCATCTGTCGTTTCTTGAGTCTCAGAACTGGAGCCACAGTGTTCCCAAGATGAAATCCATGCTGGGTTTCAGCCACGGTGCCGGCCCAGGGGCTGGCGAGGGTAAGGACGGTCGGCGACCCACGCTCCTGGGTTTTCATTTCTAAGAGTTGGGATTTCCACTTTCTCACCTCCTCACCTGGACCTAAATCCCCCCAGGCGGTACTGACCCTTCTGTTTTTGTATCCACCTACTTTACTCTCCGTGTGACAGCCCTTGAAGGCAGAAGGAAAAGAATATGTAAGAAGCGAGAAGTTAAAAAAAAGTTCTGGTTTGAAAATATTTCAAGCCTACAGAAAAATTGTAAAAGTAATACAAAGAACTACCATACACTCGTTACACAGATTTAGCAATTTCAAATATTTTACCACATTGATTCTTCTTTATCTGTCTCTACAAATATAAATACACACACACATTATTTTTCCCGATCGGTTTTTTATAGTTTGCATATATCATGTATTTTTTATCTCTAGTAATTCAATGTGTACTTCCTACGAAAAAGAACATTCTCTTGTAAACCACAGTTAATTTTCAAACTCAGAAAATTAAACATTAATACAATACTATTATTTAATATACAGTCTATATCTAAATTTCACCATGAATTCCAACGTATCCTTTCTTGTTTCTTTAGTACCCTTTGATCTGAAGTGGTTTCCCAACCTTTCTTTTGTATTTTATGGCATTGATTTACAGTTGTCAGTAGAATGTCCTTCAGTTTGAGTTTTCTGATGTTTCCTCAGGATTAGATTCAGGTTATGCACATTTGGTGAGAATATAACATAAGATATGTTGTGTTTTTAGTACATTGCATAAGGATTTTCCCCCCCATTTTTGGTGATGTTAACTAAATGTAAAATCATAATTTCCTCCCCATGTAGCTAGTATGTAATCTGTAAGGAAATATTTGAGGATATGCAAATATTCCATTCTTCATCAAAGTTTTACTCATAGTTTTATGGGTTGATCAATGAATTTTGCCTTAATCGATCATTACTGTGTTGGTATCACGATATTTTAAATTTATCATTTCTTCCACATTTATTAGTTGGTATACCATGGTGCAGTAACATGTCCACTGTCCCCCCACTTTCCTCTTCAGTAATTTATTTACTACTAGTAATGACTCAATCTTTTTTATCCAATGGATTGAAATATTATTATTATTGTTATTATTTTATTTTTGAAACAGGGTTTCACTCTGTCACCCAGGGTGGAGTGCAGTGGCGCGATCTCGGCTCACTGCAGCCTCTACCTCCATGTTCAAGGGACTCTCCCTTTAGCCTCCCCAGTAGCTGGGACTACAGGCTGTGCCGCCATACCCAGCTGATTTTTGTATTTTTTGTAGGCACTGGATTTTGCCATGTTGCCCAAACTGGTCTCAAACTCCTGGGCTCAAGCTATCAGCTTGCCTCAACCTCCCACAGTGTTGGGTTTAGAGGCCTGAGCCACCATGCCTGGATGTTCTTTAAAAATTAATTAATCTCAATACTCAAAGAATCCCCCAGGTCCTGTACCTTTTTTCTTTTTTCTTTCTTTCTTTCTTTCTTCTTTTTTATTTTTTCTTTGAGAAGCCGGAGTCTGGGCTGGGCTGGAGTCGCAGTGGCCTGATCTCGGCTCACTGCAAAGCTCG